GAATGCCTTTAGAAGAGTTGTTTGTTCTCATAATCTCAAGGATTCTAGAGTGTCCTGATGTGTATTAGGTGTTTTCGGTTAGTTTCTCTGTCTCACTCTTTTTGGAATGTGTTCTGAAGCTTCTTCAAATGAGATCGGAGTATATATTTAGTAAGAAAAGAGACTTCTGGAGGAGAATGCTCAAATTGGTCTCTGCAAAAATTTGAGCTTTCTGAAGCTTTTTTTTAATACAAAAGAGAACTATATACTGGGACAGTACAATATACCAACAGACATTATTAAAGAGACATTGTTATAGCTAAGGCCTAAATTCAGGCCATATTAAAATATGTTAACAGGCATTTAAAAAAAAAAAACCCATCCTGACTGTAGGTGGTATGACTTAGACTCTTTCAGACACAGCCTGATGACCATGTCCCAGAGGCAGTACAGCAGCTCTACAAACACAGAATTCTTGAAATATTTTTCATATAAATACCATTTTTTAAAAGTTTCTGAAGCGGCTTTTTTTAGTAGTGAGGCCAACAAATTTTAGGCAGTCAAACACTATTCATAATCTATCCGATTCTTTGAGACCTTTGTAGAATTTGACCATTCTCATGTGTGTTCCAGGTTTATGACATCTTTTGCAGTCCGTGTGTTTAGTGGATTTACTGTTGATTCATCTCTTCCTTGGTCCCAAGGAAACTCCTTTAAGGCTGAGCAGAGGTACCTAGTATAGGGTTTTTAAGAAGTGTCGTTCGAGTTATAAGTTTATATGAATCCAGCCTCAGCATGAATAATCAATAGTCTACAAAGTTCAGGCAGTTCTCCAAAAACATCTTTAATGTGGCTTCTTCAAGCTTCTTCTTCTTTCCTTCCCGCTTCCCCATGGAATCTAATGTAGTGTCATCTTTTTTCCTTTGTAGATGATGTGTTTCTACCCAAAGACATCGATCTAGACAGTGTGGAAATGGATGAAACAGAGCGAGAAGTGGAGTATTTTAAAAGGTAAAGTCCTGTAATCCCTATGCATAAAGCTGTTGTGCTTCTTCCCATATGCCCTGGTTTAAAAACAAAACAAAAACAAAAACCACCCCATAACTTAAGAACTAACTCCCAGCAGAAAAGCCTGTGCTGTACTGTGTTGTAACATAGCAAATCCTGTTACAACTGACATCCTTAATCCTGTAACAATCAATTTATGGGCACAGATCATAGCTGAGTAGCACAAATACAGAAATGAGTGCCAGAATCATCTATGCATCCCTGAAGTTCTCATCAAGGCTTTCAGAATATCCTCAGTTACATTTTTTTTTCTATAAGCGAAGTTTGTGTGAATATTTCTTTTGTTATCCACACAGACTAAATATTGATTAGTGTTTAAAATATATGAAAAATGCTATCTTAGGTATTGTGTTGAACAAATAAAACTTTACATTTTAAGTTTCAGAACATGCTTCAGAAAGGTTTGTTTGTGATGTTTTCTTCCTTGTTTATAGGAGCTATTAGTTTGGAATTCTATACTGTACATGACATAGAGATGTTATAACTGTGGGATATTAGCTTATGCCAGTCATAAAGGGGGGATGCTTGTGCTAGTGCAGTGAGAGTAAAAGAGTAATATGAACATGTGCTTGTGAAACGTTTTTCTTCTGTGCGTTTTGCTTGCTTTTGGGATTTATGCATCACATTAGTTACCTTTAAATTCCTCAATTATGAGCAGACAGCTCATGTTTAAATAATGTAGCACGTGTTCTTCCATAATACTGAAATTACTCAAATTTGTGTTCTTTAATGGTGGCTGGGTGTGATAGTAAGCCTTTCATCATGATAGCCAAATCAGAAATGTTACAAATAAATCAGTTCCCTGCAAGTGAATAATTTAGAAATCAAGAGTAGTAATTCACAAAACAACTAAAGCCATTTGTTTAAGGGGTGAGGTTTTTTTAAGAAAGGGCTTTCAGTATGGATTTCAAGTTCTTTTCTAAATTTTTATGGCTTTGATAGCCTGTGTGCCTGGGATATAATGTATGTCTGTGTCTTGCAAAGGACAGAGTACAGCTGCTTCTCTGTGCTCCTTATTATTACTATACAAAATGCATATGTCTGTGGTTATTGATGGAGTTACAGTGTACTAGAAGATGAAATTTTCAGAACTACACGCTCTTGTCTTAATCATTTTTCTGAGTGGTGCCAATTAAAGGATTTTTTTAAAATTGAAATGTAGGTTTTATAGGTGAACTGTGGCATATATTAGATAGTGCTAGTGTTGGTATAGCATAAGTCTTTGTTTTGGGCTTCGTGGAATGTTTTTAGCTTCTTTCAGGTTTGCATTATTTATAAGAAGAAAATAGATAAGTTTTTTTCAGCAATTCTCTACTCTCAATAGGATGAATGAAGCAGTGTCTTCTACTTGTACAAGCGCTGCTGAAGTTTGGAGATAAACTTGTCAAACATGCTTCCAAATGAAGAGTTAAAACTTTTAACCGCACAGTTTTATAATCAGTTCAGTAATTGGTGTAATCTGCTTTTTTACTGTCACCTACTAGGAAGTGCGTGGAACTGCCCAGTTCTTTACGCATACCTGTTTATAAAAGGTATCTGAAATGCCCTGATAGGTTCTCTTCTAGGGGAGAAAAACAGCTGCTTAATGCTGTGAAGACACCTTTAATGCATATGTTTTCTATAACTTGGTAATTTCCAAAATAATACGTAGGAGGCTAGCAACATTGCTTGGTTTATAACCCTCCATGGCAATGAGCTGCCCAGGCCTAATGAATTCATAGTTTTTAGTGATAGTTTGTTAATTCATTATCTTTTTCTTCTTGCTTTGTAGTGGCATAATAGATGGATATGTTAATTACACCCTGATTTCAGATTTAATTTTGCAAGCTGCTTCTACCTTAACGCAGAAAGAACAAAATAATTTCAGTTCTCACCTTGCGCTGTACCTCTTCTATTCCACTCCTTCCGTCTGCACCCCTTGTTTGGCTTTCAGTTGTCACAGAAGCTGTGTAGCTTTCCAGAGAGAGGCATCTGCTACCTTGATGCTGTCATGCAGCCTTTAGCCTAAACAAGCTGCGTCTTGCCTCAATGACAGACTTCAGCATTAATTAACTGTCACTGAAATACCTGCGTGTGCCAACCTTTTCCAAAAGTTCTCCCATAAATTGTGTTCAGTGAAAGCTAATAAGTGTTTTTTTGTTCTAAATGTATTTTTTTTTCCAGGCATATGGGCTACTTATCTGCTGTATTATAAACAAATCTCTTTTCCTTAGGTGTTTGTCTCAAATACAACTTTGTTGCACTCAGGAAAAGAAACAGCAGTGTCTCATGCCATTGACTTCTACTTTACATTACCTACCACTCATTCATACTGTTAGAAGGTTTTTGGTAAATTCAGCCATGTCAGCTCTGTTTCTAGTTAACATTCAGCTAGTTTCTGTGCTGCTAAATATGCAGTGTTCTTTGCTACTTCATTCACTCTTGATAATGCAGTTGTGTTTAAAGTAACTGGTTTATGATGTATTTGAGTGACGGAAAAATGTTTGGGGTTTTTTTTAGGTATGATTTTTTTAAGAGGTGTTATCTTTCTGAATGAGAGCTGCTCTTCAAAAGAGGGATAGCACCTGTGGTTTGATTTTAAGTATACTGGTTTCACTTCATTGCTTTTTTCTTTTCAGATTCTGCTTGGATTCTGCCAGACAGACAAGGCAGAGACTTTCCATCAACTGGTCCAATTTTAGCTTGAAAAAAACCACCTTTGCTGCACATTGAAATGACACAATATGGGGAGGGAACCCTGCAGGAATCAATGAACGACAACTCCACTTACCTGTCCTGCTGTGCTGAGAGCTTCTCTGGTCTTGAGCCAGTGCTGCCTTGCCTTGTCCCCAGTGCTGTGTGGATCTGCACTGAACCCTTTGGCCTGATAATTCTTGCGGACTGAAAAATTGCCACTTTCTACCTGAATTTGTTAGCTTGTGTGCTTGTAGTCTGTGAGTGAGACTTACTTGATTGTAGCTGTATGCCGTTGGAGTTGGAACAATAGCTCTTTTCCATCTCCTTCTGAATGCCTTGGCCTCAAAGACTTTAAATTGCTTAGGCTTGGGTGGAGGCCAAAATACTAGTTTGCATCATCTGCAGTGGCTCCTGTCACTTCTGCATCTAGCTATGTTTTGTCATTCTGACTCCTGACAAAGGAATGGACCTAGTCAGTTGTGCTTTCATCTGCTCCAGAATTCTCCTGACATGACTTCATGAAAAAGAGGCTCTTATGGGACAAGTATTTCCTCAGTTCTTTCACAATCTACTGTTTAAGAGTGTACAAGTTACGCTATTTGTGTTTTGATTTTTTTTTTTCCTGACTTGTAGCCAGCTTGTGTAAGAATACTTGCAGAATGAGAAAATTTAAAAAAGAACAGTACTCACACTATCAAATCTGTTATAGAGTGTATAATTGTATTAACACTGAAGCCTACCTGGCTACTTTTTTAACATATTGTTAAGTAATATTAAAATCATGTCTTTCTTTTTGAAAGATGGAATACATTAGTATGGCAGAAGACTTGTGTCTTGCTTTTTTCTGCTTGGGTGGGGAACAGGAAGAAAGAAACATACCAAAAAATAATGGTTTTCTAAGCTAAATGTCATCTTATGTCAGGATTGGTCAGTGAATGCTACTTAACTTCAGCATATTCCTTGTTTGCCAGCTCACCTGATGGGAAAAACTGCTCTCTGCTAGAGCAAGAAAGGCTCCT